CTCAAAATCCGCGTGGATGAATATCGAAATTTTTAAAAACTGGTTTTTTAGTAAATTCGTGCTTCAGGTTTGTATATTACAACAATTTTCACTTCAATACTCCTTAATAATACTTTTAATTATAGGTTGAAGATTTTYTTGAAAGTCGAAATCTACCAAAGCGAGCAATATTACTCTTGGATAACGCTCCTAGTCATCCACCAGAAGAAGATTTGGTGACTCCAGATGRAAAAATATGKACAGTGTTTATGCCACCGAATGTAACGGCTCTAATTCAACCGATGGACCAGAACGCGATTCGCCTCACCAAATTATTTTACCGAAATTCTTTATTGAGCAGTGTAGTGCAAAAAGAAAATATAAACGCAGCGTTAGAGGACCTCACCCTTTTCAATGCAGTTCAACTTATTGCTGCAGCTTGGGAAAAAGTTTCAGGGGTTGTTCTTCAGAAGTGTTGGAAAAACATTTTAATTAATAAAACCACACCTGACGATGAAGATGATGAGGACAATATAGCTCTAGCAGATTTGCGATTCAGAGAAGACCGTTCTGTTATGGAGAGCACACTTTCTCTTATCCATACAATGTTTCCCCAGGTACGGTTTAACTTATGCATTTTTAAAAATAATTTAAATTAATATTGAAATAAAATTTTAGACAAACTTCAACACAGATKATTYGGAAGCATGGAACAGTGTAGACAATGTACTTGTAGAAGAGAACCCGAGTGCTGAAAATGAACTAGCTAATAAAATTTCGGAAGAGGAGGAAGCTGATACCGCTGCAGTTGTAKCTGTGCCGCCAATAAAGCATACTGATGCCATCGACTGCTTTGAGAAGTGTATCAAATGGTCTGAAKAAAACAACGTGGAACAGGAAAAAATATTTTTATTGAAAAGCCTAMATCAAAAGGCACAGGATCTAAAAATTTCTCGCCCACAAAAGCAAATGAGCATAACAAATTTCTTTTCAGTTGAATAATGCTCATATTTTTGTTATAAAATTCAATTTTTATTAAGTTTATTGTATGCATTTTCCATTGTATATGTATTTATTTCAACCAATGCTTATGAATTCATGAATAAATAGTTATTTTTAAATATATATATACCAATATTAATTTAGTTTTCGTTTCCGATATAACGAATATTTCAGTTTAACGAACGGTCCCAACATTATATCATTCGTTATATTGGAGTACGACTGTATATGTAAGTATATAATCTTATATCTATCTCGATTGAAAATGTGTGATGTGATAAATACAACCGTTAGGTGAACAAAATGTTATACTCTGTGGCAACATGTTGCAAGCGTATAAAGAATCAGCCGCGAAGAATACCTCATTTCAGGCAGAAGGATTGACTTACAGTAAGTTTTAGCTCTTCATCAATATTTTGGAGACCAAACGAACGGAAAATGATCAAAACAACATTAAACGATCTACTCAATCTAAAATGCTTGATAGAAAGTATATATTTTCAATAATTCCTTATTAATATTTTACATCTTCTTAGGCAATAGACTAAGTGCTCACCTCTCTTTCTTCATTAACAGTTTCTGATCCTCTTATATCCCAACAAGCCTGTAGTAACTGTATGGCTTATGTTTAGCTTAAAGGCTGAAGTTTTCTCAGTATTTTCATTAGATGTTTTAGACAATGCTACTGAACTGAAACTAGTCGTAGAACCTAATTGGATACACTAAGGATACACACTTCTACTTGTTTCTAGGTTCTATTTGTTTCTAGGTTCTGCATATCCTCAGATAGAATAAGTTCAATTGACCACATCCATTTTTGTTACCTCACACTTAGGCAGTTGCTTTCACTGTAAAATACTGATTTCTCTAAAGAGATTAAAGGTCAAGAAACCGAAGGACCTCTATTAACATGAGCGCAATAGATCCATCCAACTCAAAGTAGTTTATAAAACCATAAGACAAATTCATAAAAACGTAAGACAGTAGAGACTACGTATCCGGAACGAACCCGGAATTTTATCCGACTAAGGAATAGCACATCGGCTGCATTCCTCCGTTTCTTGTGGAATATTTTTGGTTTCGCTAAAATTCTTCATTATTTATAACTGCCTCAGAAATCCTACGACGGACCTCAAAATCATTCAAACCACACACATTTTTATGCCAATAAAGCTTAAAATGCTGGCGGTTTCAATTTATTTCTGCTTTCTCAAACATATTAACATATATTAATTCTCTCGACTTACTACTTTCTTGCCACTAACTCGAATCGCGGCAAGAGCTAGTCGGAGCTACGATTAAGTGCGTGTATGTTTGTGTAGTGGCGAGCGTACGTGTGATTAAAAAGCGCTTGCGTTACGTTGGCCATTATCGCTTTGACCGTTAATAGCGCCAAATTGGAAATTTCAAAATCGCACACATGTCATGTATGGGCAGATCGTTGTTCATGTAGGAAGACATTAATAATGCGGCACGCCTCTCTGATCGCTGGCCGCCTATGCGTGCTAATTATGCGTAGTAATAGCTTTCATCTCCCGCTCGGCGGCTAGTCGGTTGTTGCTGGGTTTCGTTAGCAACAACTGATCGCGTTTCTAGTTTTACATTTTTTTAGAGGGATTGTTTTTGTTTGCTAATGTTGTTTTTTCTATTTTATTATAGATGTTGTTGTTAATTTCTAGTGTTGTGCTGTTGTTATTGTTATTATATTTTTTGTCCCTGATGATTTTCTGTAGTTGGATCAGTTGTTGTTGTTATTACTTTTTTCTTCACTTTTTTCAGTGACAACAAACATGCAAGTGTGTGGCGCTTTTGAAGCAGTTGGTCGAGGAAATCTCAAGCTGCCATTTGATGTACGCATTTATGTGTGTGTGGTTATTTATGCTTATATGTGTGTGCTGGTGCGTGCATGCGTACAAATTACCAACTGCCAGATCAATCAAACGGGTGAGCGCACTCACGAAATACGCATATAGGGACGCAAGTGATATGCATATGAAATTCGTGCGTATGTGTATGTGCGATTGTTTTTTGTTTGTCGCTTTTGTTTTGCGGCTAATTTCATTTAATTTCGGCTTTTTGTCCCAAAAATTAAATCGAACCACAGCCGCAATTATATTATATTTTTACTCATTTAATAATTAATAATTTGTTCGGGTCACGAAATGACACACAAGCATAAGGATGTATGTGTGCAGGGCTTAACGTTGAATATATTAGACATATGTATGTACGTAGAAATGTGAGATGTGTTTTTAATATTTTTTGTTCCGTTTTGTACAGCAGTTTTCACTTGAAGAAAAAGAAAATTTCATAAAGAAAAGTTAATGCTATACTTGAAACCAACGAAAAAACACTCTCCAAGCCTGAATGAAGCTGATAATTGCTGTCACAAATTTGACTTACCGCGGAACACAGAAATGCTGATGTACAGCTGAGAAGTTGCTGCTTTCGTGCAGCCAACAACTGTGTAAGCGGTGACAGTTCTAAAACATTTTTTCTGCCTTCTCTCTTTTCTACAATAACAATGTCAAAGGTTTTTTATTTTTTGTTATGAGAATTATTTTCCTTGTGTTTTATACTCTCGAAACATGTTGCTACAGGGTATAATAGTTTTGTACATCTAACGGTTGTTTGTAACGCCTAAAACTAGTGAAGATGGAGATTAAGTGTTACATATACACAGCATATTATATCAAAAGGATTACGATGACGAAACTATTTGTGTTTAAATATTTTAAAAAAGTGGACGGTGTCGATCTTTCTAAAAGTTGAAAGCTACGTAAACCAAACTCGCTTAAAAAATTTTGCTTTCATTTTAATATACAGTATAAAAATGGGCGTAATCGAAAGTCAACCACGCCTCCTTCATGTATAACCTAATTCTAGGGTAAAGACTTTAGGGCAAATATCAGTAAATATGTAAGATATCTTAAAAATTAAATAAATATATACAAAATTGGAGATAATACTCATATAGTTTGGTGACGAAAATTGTTCTTGATTCCACAAAGTCTACATATACACCTATACGGTAGATTAGTTCAAAAAAAAACTGTGGAAAAAAGACATTGATCGTATGCAAAAATTGGTGCTTGGTACCTTATCATTGAAGCCTATTACAGAAGCATAAGCATTATTAAAGAAAAAAAGTCATTAAATATAAGCAAAAATAGATAAACTCGGGTCAGTACTACCCTCAACTCCCATATACTACATATGTATGTATAATGATTTTCGCCTTTCCAACAAAACTTATGCTGAATATGACTCAGTGTATTAGTTTTAAGTTTAATTTCTTAACGTTTTAAGGTACATTCCTGGCTTTGGTTCTTGCAAGTTGCAAGAGTATAAAATGTTCGGTTATACCCGTACTTAGCCCTTCCTAACTTGTTTGTTTCTTATTTTTATATTTCTTTAAAATTTTGGAAGAGTCGCTCACCCGCGCACTGGCGCAGAAATGTGAACAATTAGCAGTTACTTTTCACATACCACTGAAATAAAAGTGCTGATAGAAAACAGAAAAGTTAAAACGGCAACAAAAAAGAAAGCTATTCCACTTGGGGTTGCTCGTCCACACAAAACGCAAATACATATCTTCCTCCATCACAGCGTATAAAGCAAATGGCAAATTTGATTAGACACATGTTGCATGATGCAACTGTCGGTCGACTCACTGCCGAGTTGCCATGCTGGCTAGCCAACTCACTGGCAGGTTGAAAACGCGCCGATTGTCAGCAGAGACACATGCACACATAAAAAATGTGTGTTCGTATCTATTTTGCGGCCACAGCCGTTTGAGGCGGAACTCAAGGGGATTGTCAGTTGTGCGGTTAAATACAGGCTTTTGATTTGATGCCCTGCCAGCTGTAAGTCGCTACTGTGATTTCGTTAGCAGACACAAACATAAACATATACTCGAGTGTGTCAGTCGCTTATACTTGGCATGAAACAAACTAGCACAATGCATAACTCCGGAGAGACGGCAACGTAATCTATTAGATGTGTAATTATGTGCAGAAGAATGAGAGCCATTTGACAGGAAGTATCTTAAATTTAACTTACACTTCTGAATTTGCTACTGATATATAGGTGAGACATACGATACATATATATGTATATGTAATGGTCCTTAGATTATTACATGAACTTTGCACCGCGACCTTAGGTCTATTATGGTCTTCATACAATTTAGTAATAATATCTGACAAAATATGCTGGACTAGTTAAATGATTTTGAGAAAGCAAGGAGAAATAGAAACTAGATTACCTTTCACAAATAAAAGAAGCAACAGAAACAAAAAGGCATCAATTAATGGATTGAAAAAGGATTTAGCCTGATAGGCTTAACTTGAGTTATACATATATGGACCATTTAGGAGGGGTCCACTAAGCCCTCAACTTAAGAATGTTAGCTTACCTGAATTCATAGGAAAGTAATTAGTCGGTAATTATTCCGAATAAAATGTGATAATCCAATTAATAGCAATTACAACTGTGTTGCAAGCTATTCATAATTTTTAAAAATCTTAAAATTCCCTTTTGAAAAGCCCAAAAGTGCGTGAAGCAACCAACTGACTCCAACATGCCTATACGAGACTTGGGTGGAAATTGGGCTCGAAGTGACGAGGAAAAGGCTAATTGTTTTGCAAATCACATAGAAAAGCTATTTCAACCTAACTTGCCAAAGACCAACTTTAGGCTGTCAATCATACCCAACACAGTCAAAAAGACGCTCGAGTCTTTTAAGACTTCAAATTATTGGAATCATAAAATAACTTAATCCAAAAAAGTCGCCGGGACATGATAATATTACACCAAAAATGGTAATTTAGTTACCAATTATTGCTATAGAGGTGCTCTCTTTGCTCTTCAATACAATTCTTAGTTTCGGGTACTATCCAGTTTCATGGAAAAAGTCGCAGATTATCATGATAGATAAACTTGGGAAATACTTAACACAGCCGTCTTCATACAGACCAATCAGTCTTCGACCCTGTCTT